TTGTCGAAATCTTTTTCCGATTTCGTCGGAACGTCCCCTCGTCTTTCCTCGTCTCCGGTTTCTCGTCAAGCGAGGCCCGGTAGAAATGAAAATTTAACGCGTTCGCCCCCTCGCGACATCGAATCTCCCGGACGGCTCTTCGGAGTCCCGGAACCTCCTCGCGAGATCCGGACCAAGGAGAGAAAGAAGATCCAGGTCGCGTAAAACGGTGGATTCCGTGTTCGTCGGACGTCGTCCCAAATTAAAGAATCCTCCTGACCTCTTCCTTCCTTTCGGCCTCCGTTCGTTTCGTCCCATACCCCGAGACACTCGATGTCGCTTAACACGTTCTCTGCCAGACCGTTTTTTGAAGACTTCAGTTCAGGCCGCGTGGGGCGTATACGCCCCACGATCAAATGAGCGATCAGCAATAGTATTAAGATGCCCATAATTGACTGCATAATGAATTTTTTAAAAATTCTTCATTTTACAATGATAGTACCAAATGGCTTGAACGGAAAGTTCAGCGTGGGGCGCATACGCCCCACGCGGCAGGGAACGTGTTAACGCTGCCCCGCGAAACGAGCTAATGGCAAGTAAGTTCGCCGCGGGACGTTAATTTAATCCGGGGCCGTAGAACCATCTCGAACTGGCCCGGGACACTTCGGTAGGTACAGGTTCGGCAGGGTAACGCCCGTCGACGTTATTGCTTTACTCTCAACGATCGTCGGATCCGTTACTTTCGACGGATCGAAGGAACTCCGAGCACCGAGTTTACCGCCCCGGAGACTTCGGAAGAGGTTCGGTACTCCGACGGCAATTCCGAAGCGTTATGCCCGATCGGTCGTTCGCTTTTACGTCGACGCGAGGCGACGTCGCAGCGACGTCGTAAATGTCCCTCGACTACGACCGATTAATATTCCCCGTCACAATCCCATTTGCGCGGCGCCTTTGACCGATACCGAGCTTAATAGCTCGTTACCGTTCGCCGTACCTGTCGGCGTTCGTGTCAATGGGCTGCGATTTCCAAGGACTGCCCGATTATTTTCACGATAATGGCACCGATTGTCCCAACTCCGAGCCAACGACAACGGCTACCGATCGCAGTCGGAAGTTGTCCTTATCAGGAACTGACGATCGGCGATACCGCGGAAGAAAGTTAAGGGATTGCGTTTCAAATCGCGTACTCTCCGAACGTTGTTACCGTCCCCGACGATCCCGCAAGAACGGCGTATCCCACCTTGTCGGCAAATTTTGCAAATTAAGTCGCTCGGACAGTCGTTGATGCCGGCGCCGACGGAAGGGAAATTGTAACGGAGCCGGAAGGGCAATTTGTAACAAAATGTGCTGAAATTTCGATCAAACGGTCGCCAGTTTAATCCGTAATTGCGATCGTTCGTCGGCCCGATTCGTTCATTTACGCGGCACCTTTGCCCGATACGGTACTTAACGGCATTATTATTCGGCCAGCCTGTCGACATCCGCATCAATGGCTGCGATTGCCGATTATTGTCCGATTATTTCCACGGTAATGACTTCGATAGTCGCGCCAGCCGGGCGGCGGTAATGGCCGCCAGCCATGGGAGGAAACTCCCTTTAGCGCGCGGATCGTAGATCGATATGGGTCACCGATGGATATTCAATCGGGTGGTTCTCTCCCCCCTCCGGGGTAAAAGCTCTACGTTGCACGGTGAGCAATTAGCGAAGACGCGAACGGCCGGTTCCGGTCGCGACTTGGTCCGGGGTCGCACCTGCGCCATCGGCTGGAGGTGCCCTCCACCTTACGAGATTTCCGTCCCTGCGGAAAAGTCGCTACCCTACGGGAAACGCTGGGGGCTCGCAACGACGCCGGGAGGATCCGCGCGTTTATCGCGACCGGAACGATCTCTGGCCGAAGATCGGGGGCACGTCGAGACTCTTTCGCGAGCGGTCCGGACGTTTATCTCCTCGCTGCTTCGACTTACGATCCGAGCTCTCGCCCTTTGACCTCCCGGCCGTTCCGATCCCGAAGAGCGCTTTCGATTGTTCAACGAGAACGACGACGCCGACCTTTTGCTCGCCAAGGGGAATTATCGACGACTCCCCTTCCTCCGGCGAGACGTCGGTCGAATTCTCGATTCCCGTGCCGTCCCGTCGAAGCGACGATCCGCCGGACACGCGCGAGTCGGTTCTCGCGAGCTCGGGAGAATCGCGCTTCGTCTCGTTCAAAGCGACCTTTCGCTCGTATACGAGGTGACATCAAAGCCGCTTTTCCTGCCGTGCCAAAAACGCTCGTTTTCAGCAGGAAACGTTACGATCCAAATTATCGATCTTCGGACGAAATTGCACTTCCGGTTCATCGCCACGAATTTACGCTCAACGAAAATATTCCGGCGAAGCGACTCGACTATAATATCCGGGCACCGTTCTTTTTACGTTTATAGCCCTCCCTTGATGGGCTTTTTATTTATTGTCCATTAAATCGAAAAAGTATATGGGTTAATTCGGCCATTACTACCGTTTACCCCGTTCACGGGAATAATAATTCAGAGAGCGAAGCTAGCTTGATGCACGACACCGTGAACGTTTGCCCGGAGCCTCCGTTGACCGGGCAAATCTGATCCGATATTACGGCCTCGTCCGATCGCCGGTCGCTCCCTGTGCATCATTGAATCGTTTCGCGAGATAATATGCCGTACAAACCTGCGGCTCGATCGCATTCCGCCCGGCGGTCGGAAAGTCGTTCCTTTATTACCCCTGGTCCCGGAGATCCCGCGGGTTCGAACGAGAGCACCCGGTGCCGCGTCGTTCGGGCATTCGAGGGAACGACTTCTTCCCGGAGCCGGAAAGCCCGATCTTTGGACCGAATTCCCGTTCGACCGTCCTCGGGAGAGGGAAGGCCCTCGAGGTCGGGGTGCATTTCGGGGCAGCCGGGTTTGTAATTCATATCAGCGTCCCGGCGGACAAGGCAATCGAGTCTCGCGCTTCGCGGCAAGGGTGGCCCGAATTAAACTTACAGATCCACCGCAGGGCTGCACAAAGAGGCCATCGCGTTCGCGGCCCGGACGGTGGATCAAATGAAAGGAAAATATTGTATTTTTTATGAGCACCTCGCCCTCGCGACCGGCGAAGCAGTCGACGGAGGGAGGACGGAGAAAGGGCGGACGAGCGAGCGGGCCTCGGGGAGATCAAAGTTGAACGAACGCGTCCGCGAGTCACAAAGAGTTTGGGACACTTTATTACCCTCGGAGAGTCGACATCAAAAGGAGCCGCGGCCGTGAACGGCGCGGCCGCGACGTCGGACTCGCGGGGGAGAATCGGGGATAACGGGCCGACGATAACAATGCTCGGTAATGCCCCGCGCCGATGGAAAATGGATATTGCTAATGGAAAATGCAAATCCCGCCGACCAATTAATCGGCCTATCTGCCATTTTCATCCCCTATCGGGGGACTGTGTGCGCAGGACCGGGACCGGGACCGGGGGTGCAGTCAATGGACCGACTCTCGAGCAACTTTTTCGCCGGTTCTCCGGGGCGCCCTCCGATCGAGGGAGCCGGAGTCTCCGGGGTTTCGAGCACCGCTGGCACGCACGGAGAGAAACGCGGGTCGAAAAGAGCGGAATACCCGGACCGCGGGGTGGAACGCCCGAGTCCCCGTGTCGACCGGCGCACCGGTTGTTTACGACGGCGACGCCGAATGCCGATCCTAAAAACGCTAATGCCTCCGGCCCGGCCGGTCGGCCCTGCGAAAAACGCACCCGGGAGCATGACGCCGCCAGATATATTACGGAGTTTAACCTCGCGTTAGCCGCGAGCCCGGCCTGGGGAGAAATACTTTCTTAACTGGAATACCGAGACTCGCATACTGGCATTCTTTCGCCGGTGAATTTGTGAACGAACCGTCGGTCTTCCTCGAGAAACGCATCCGTAGGCGGACTCCGGGCCGACTTTTGGCCTCTCACCGATCCCGAACTTTTTCCTACTACGAAGTAACGAAGAAAGAGGAGCCCCTCCAACGGGAGATTATTTCCGTACTTGCCGTCGCATCGGCCCTAAAGACATAGTTCTTACCTTCAAATTCAGCCGTCGAGCGAGTCGCCGTGATTTTTTTTCTCAGGAGATGCATAGGGGATTACGGTCTCTTTCGATGCCTACCATAACACATTCGCGATATCCTTTCGATTTCGACCGAGTTGGCCGAAATTATCTGCCTCGTGATTTCTCCCTTCCGCCGGGGCATCTGTACGTGCGCGCAATATTAGGAAAAATAACAAGGCTTCGTGCGCCCGTTCCGACCGTCGGAAGGGCGTCGAAAGCATTGGAAAAGTTCGGCATTCGGCCGGGTTCGCCGGTCTGCCCGATGAAGACGTAATCGCGATCGCGTGCCACTAATCGTTAGATCCAACTTCGGTAGGGCCGAGTTAACTGGATTTTGATAAACCTCGCGCGGACGCCGGCTACCGAACTTTATTCGAGCCCTATTATGGACGTCCCCGCCGATCGAGAGAGAGGATTGCCGAGACCTGGATATCGTCTGCGCGATCCGTTCAAAGGTAACGCAAAAAGGGAGAGGGAGGGGGCTCCTTGGAACCGTGATACGATAGGGCGCCTCGCCGCTGCGAAACCGGGCTACGCGCTCGCGGTGACTCGACGACGTGCCATCGATCGACACTTTATACCGAGCGATCGTTCCCGACACCGCCTACCTACCTACCTACCTTTTGTCTCACGGTCGTGAGGTATCGCGGGGCATCGCGGAACCAACGCCAACTCGGACTCGTACTCAGGCGGAGCGGTAGACCTTGGGAGCGTTCTTGCGATCGTCGTAGCGGCGTCGCGGTCCTGCCCGTCCGGTCGGTGGTTCGGCGTAGAGTGAGAGGCGAGCCGCGCGCTCCCGGCCGGTCGGTCGCTCGGGCGTCCTCGAGCGTCCTCGGGCGTCCTCGGGTGTTTCCGAGCGCGCTCGGCGCCGCTAGGCCCGAGTCGCGCCGGAGTCGAGTCACTCGTGGATCTCGCGAGTCAGTGCTCCGCCGGACGCGAGAGGGTGCAGTTGCGTTTTCCGATTCTCGCTCCGGAGTCCCGTCGCCTGGGAGAGCCGGGGGAGGACGCCGCTTCGATTACGTCGCGAGTGAAAGTTGACCTCTGCCGCCGTGCGAGTGCATCCTTTTTCTCCGAGGACGCGTCGCGAAGGCGCTGCGAACGACTGCCGATCTCGAACCGTCCCGAGTGGCTCCCATTGAAGCCACTCGACGCTGGGAGCCGGCGGTGCGCGCGCGGATGTCGGCAGGAATCGGCGGAGGAATAATTGAACGCGAACTTTAGTGGACTCGGCGTCGCGCGCAGCGTAGAAGAGGGAGGAGAGGCGACGGACGAGACCGGACGAGATCGGACGACGTGCGTGCATGCCGGGTGCGGCGCGGGTCCCGTCGAGCTCCAGCCGGGTCGTCGCTCGTCCCGAGCCAACCTGCTGCGCCTAACGACTTCGGCACGAGGTACGTCTCGCAAGCGACCCCGCAGAAAAGAGGCGGATTCCGCGGCGGCTCGGGGGATGCGGAAGAGGATTCGGTTTCCCCGGCCATTCCATTTAACGGCAGATCCGCGCTCGTGAGCTCGAAGCTTCGGGAACATGAGGGAATCCGGAATACTTCCCCGAGAGACGTTGCCCCCTCCCGGCTGGATTTCAAAGTGACCGGCAGTTTTCGGGGGAACGAAGGGGCCTTTGCGCGGAATTTTCCTAAGGAACCTCCGCGTGAAATTCCCCGCCTGACCCCCAAGAGAGGCAAGAATCGACGCCTCGTCGGTAGGGTGTTACCTTTTAGTCGGGAAGGAGACTGGTACCGGATAATTCGACGCGTTTACGTCCGTGACGGAACGAACGGTTGTCGATTTCACCAAAATTCGTGATCGTTATCGGCGTGGTTTTCGGGAACGTTTTATTCCCGATGATCGTACCCACGTGATTTCGGCACGCCGACGGAGTTAAATGGGCGTTTAAAGGCCAAAACGGTGGTTTTAGTCCTCGGATTTTCTTGCACTTTTAACGGCGACTCCTTCCCGACAGCGAAGCCCGTTTCCGAGTACTCGGGAACGTTTAAACGTTCATTTTATTACACCGAGAGCGTCGTCGAAAAGCGAGCGCTTCCCGTCTCGGCACCTCGACGACGGGACGTCCCGAGCGCGACGGCCGGTCGACGAGCGAGTCTTTGCTTTCCTTTTATTCCTTTCGGAGAAAATCGATCCGCGCGTTTCTTACGATCTTTGCTCCGGCAACGAACGAAAGGCTGGTAACTCCTTTCCCCGCGACCGCGCCTCTCTTATGAAATCCATTATTCCATATTCGTTTTCCCACTCGGCGGTTCCGTCTCTCGCGAGAGACGAGGGTACGATCGCCGATGGACCCTTTGCGTTCGCTTCCTTTGGCCGAGTTTCGGGTTTCGAGCCGAGCCAAGATTTACGGAAATTATTCTCGTGCTCCTGGCGGGAACGTCCCTGCTCGATCCCGGCCCCCTCGGAGACGCGACGTCGGTACCCGGGAAAATTCAGGAGCGAGGCCCCCCCGGCGGCCTGGCGGAGGGGGCACGCGGTAAACTACGTTATGCAAGCGCTTTTAAAACTGTATACATTGAAAAAGTTGGGCGCGGCAAGCAGCCCGAAAATTTAAATTGCGCCCGCCGGTACATTGTCCGAGTTCGCGGGAACCGGTACGCATTATGCAAGGGTTACCTCGATGGCCGCGATCGCGAGGACGCGGAAAGTCTCTCGCGGAGCGGGATCGCCCCCCACCGGACGGTCATTTTCGACTTCTTTCTCCGAGTACTTCGTCGCGACTCGATCCTCTCGGCGTATGCCCGCGGGGTAACGTCTTCCCTTGGAACTTTAATGCTCTCGATTATCGAAATCGTGGCCGAGAGGAGTTCTCTCGGAGGGAATCGGGCCCCCGAAAGAAACGAAGCGGGAAACCTCGTTCGAAGTCGCGAAGGAGGCCGTCGCGAGTTCGGGATTACTTTTCCGAGATGAAGTCGTGAGTGCACGCCGGCGCGGATAATCGGATGCGCCGGGATGCAGCCGGGATGCAGCCCGGAGATATCGGGTGCCGACATTGGGAAACGCGAACTTTTCCGATCGTACCTACCGTGAACTCGGTGGCCGGAGCCAACCGAACGTAATGGAAGTTCCCGAGGAAGGAGGGCGAGGGAGGGAAAACTCTTCCGCCGAGTTGACTCCGTCTTCGGCGTTCCAGCTTTTCCGCCTCTCTCCGATCCGGAGGGAGTCGTTGCGTCTTCCGAGGACTCCTTCGCCTCCGTCGACCCTCGACATTCCTTCCGAGGGTCCGAAAGAGGGATAAAGGGAAGGACGGCAAGACGTTAAAGATTTACCGAAAGGCCGGACGTACGCGTGCATGCACGCACGCTCGATGAGTAAGCGCTTCTTTTCCAGCTTTCCGTCGCGTTTCCGCTTAACGTCGGCGAAGAAGAAGCTCGGCTCGAGTCGACGAAAAACGTGGGTTGTCGTCCCGCGACGCCGTCCCCGAGGTTCCACTTTGCGAGGCAAGAAGCGGACGTGCGTTTTGTCGGAGGAACCTCGAGGAACGGAGTACCGTTTCCGCGCCGCGTCCTTTTTCGTCTTCTGACTGACTTTTTGCCGCGACGAGCGCGCTTCCACGACGCTCGGGGTGGACGTTATTTCCGAGTTAACTTCTCGCGAGACGTCCGGGGACTTCCATGCGTTTCTAACGACTTAACGAGGGTAACGGCGCCGACGTATGGACCGCGCGTCGGAGCTCCTTCTCGGCTCTCTCGGAATCGGTCGAGTGTTGCGGATTAGATCGAAAGTACGCGCGATTCCCGTTATCCGCACCGGAACGGATGAAACGATCCTCCAGCGGTATTAAGGCCCTTCGAGTACTCCGCGGAAAAAAAGATGGCGCCAAGTTCCGGACGAATGACCCTCGAGGAACGTCTTCGAAGCGAAATCGCCAGGTTCCGAGGGGCGAAAGCGGGAACAGAAATTGAAATCCATTAAGTCGCTCGTCGCGGGTCCCTGGCGGAATTCCGGGATTGCCATTGATCTCCCGCGGATTCGGCCGCCCCAGAAGTCTTACGGAATAATCTTCGTAACTAGCTCCGCGAACCACTTTTTCCCGGCATTATGGAAAGTACTCTCGGAACTTTAAATTGACTTCGGTCCACTCGAACGTTATTGCATTTGAAGATGTAGCTACATCCATGCTTATATACACACGCGTATGTACGTATTTGGGCATCCATCCTTATCGGTGATGCCGACAGACTTTGTATCGCCCTCCCGCGCGGAGGATAAGGTGTTCCTCGCCGCTACCGTTTGGCCGGCAGAGGCGCTAGTCCTAGAGAGGGGCGGTCGCCGACATGTATATTCATCCGAGCACCCCGAAGGCGTCCTTCCGGCGGCCGCCTCGCCACCTGTCCACCCTTGACCCACCCACCGAGGAATTAATTCCTCGCGAGCACGCCCGGAAGTGTCGGGGACCCGCCGAGCGGGAGCGGGGTGGGCAATTTGAAAACGCGCCCGATTGCAGGGTCGGCTCCTTGCTTCCGATGCGAGCGAAATCCGGGGAGAGTTTTCAAGGTTTTACGTTCGGCTTTAAACCCGCTACGTAACGCGGCCGCGCGTTTTATTGCGCGCAATGGAATATACGTGCCGGGTCATCGTCGGCTCGTTGCGGGAGTGGAAGCGGAGGCTTTACGATTCGCGGGGATTCCGCGGCCGGCTCGGCGGCCTAGAACTTCGCGTCGAACGAGAAGATACAGGGGTGGAATCGAGCGATCGCGACGGAAGGCCATTTTCCGACCGTCGTTTCGATTCGCTTAAATACCTTCTTCCGTTTTCGATAGACGTTCGAAAGGGAGTTTCCCATCCTGGAATCGAGCTCTTCAACTTTTCGAGGGATCGCTCGAGCCGGAGAGACGTCGAGCGCGCGGAATCGCGGTCCTCGATTTCCGAGCTCCCCCGGCGAGAAATTTGCAAAAAAAGAGCAGCGACCCCGCGGAAAAGTTTTCGTTAACCCGGAAGAATCATTCGTTGAACAAACGGGGCGTTTGCGTCGGATCGGGGAACGCGATGAGATTGGTCTCGGCTAGCAAAATTATTCCGCTGAACTCGGCCGGGCGAACTTCCCCCGCGCCGAGGAAAATGCAGTTTACGCGGTGCTGTGCGCGTTGTAATTTGCAGAGGCAACGATCTCGTTCCGGAGTCAGGTTCTCGAAACTTTGGAGAAATATCAGGGACGCTCCGCCGCTCCTACTTTTCGAGCCCTTCGCCCGACGGATTTGACTCCGCCGAAAAGATTACTCCGTCCACCAGTGCAAGAAATAACAACTTACAAGGGAATCGCATGGCGCGAGCACTCGCCCCGTTCCGATTCGTTGCCGCTCCCGGATTGTTATGTATATGTTCGAGCAATCGGAGGTTCGGAGCAATGAAAGCGGTGCCGGGTGCGAAGAGTGAAACGATAACAATAAATTTATTAAGAACAGTTTTGAATCTTTCACAAACTTAGGAAATTCAAGATCGATCGTGACGGTTAAATAAGCGGCGGACGCGTGCAATAAGTAGCGCGGATGTACTTGGCGGAGATCTGAAGAGATTCGCTATTGAGATGAATTGTATCTGACGGTGCCTAGCGGGACTCCCTTTTTAAAAGTTTTGGATGCGGTTCTCTAGGGCGGAGTTTTTTGCCAAGCGTTTGCTAATAGGTCTAGCGAAATGAAGTGGGATCTGCAATCGAAGGCGATTGGTTAATGAGGACTGAGAGAGGGAAAAGTTAATGTTTTTTAAGGAGGCTTAGGTGGGGAATAATAAAAATGGGCTATAGGACTAGAAGTAAACGAATCATGGGCTAAAGGACCGCGGTAGTGTATAAAAGAGTGACACGCTAGAGTTTCTGTTTACACCTCAATTTAAGTTATGACCATACGTTACTGAATTGATGATGCGAGATGACAGGGAGCGACTCGAGGAAGAATAAACAGAGTTTGAGATGAGGAAGAAATAGAACTTCCAGATCGTTGCGGAGAGTACTCTAATTAAAATTTGGCGTTATTATTTCAACTTTGCATATTGGCTTGAACACGGATGACCGGCCCGATATCGGCGGAATTTCGGCGATCCCGTTCCCGGGATCAAGGAGGACGGGGGACTCCCGATCGAATCGGCAGCTCCATATCCATCGAGTTCTTTACGCGGAAACCATTTCGAACCGGTTTGCGTGGATGCGTCGGAAAGGCGCGGACGCGATCGCGCGACGATTTCGTGGTCAGGATCCTCCTCGTCAGGATCGTGCTCGAACGCCCTCGTCGTCTCGGCGCGATACCTCGTTATTCGTTATTTTCCCCGCCGATTAATTCGACTCTTTTCATATCGAGGAGCGGGCGTAATCGCAAGCGCCGGCGGAACGTGAAAAGGATCTCGCGGGTATCCAGGACGCTCGTCCTGGCCGTCCGATGGCTCGCGACGC